CATCACTGCCTCAGCTCCACCGCAGATCAGCAGGCATTAGATTCTCATAGGAGCACCAGTCTCTGGTGCCAAAAAGATTGGGACTGCTGGCTACACTGTGACAAGGGGTGCAACAGTGACCAGAACAAGGTCTGTATGTCAATAAGTCAGTCTGACTCAGATCTGGGCAGCTCAGCACATGGTGCAGGCCAGTGTGGGAAAGCCATCCCAGTGTTCCTCATACAAGAGTAGATGTTTGTATATTACAAATAAATAGATAGATAGATAGATAGATAGATAGATATAGAGATAGATAGATAAATAGATAGATAAAATAATTGAACACAGTCAAACTTAAACTTCTGGTGTCACTCTTATTTACATTAAAATATACCTCTCTGGTGGGAATCCCACACGGCCCTGGATACGGGCACTGAAGCACCGTTACCATTGGGTGCCCTAGTGGAGAAGGGAAGGTGGTGACGCAGCAGTAACTGCTGCAGGAGACAAAGGAGGCAGTGCCAGGTAAAAGTGCCAGGAGTCTTAATGAAGGAACACAGATGACTGGCCTGTGAGGGAAAGGTGAGGCTTAAAGAAGGCCCAGGAGAAATGCAAAGTGTTCTAGGCCCAGGAAATAGTACATGCTCTAGTGGGGGGTCCAAAGGCCACAAGTATAGCAGCTAGAGATTGGGAAGAGGGCTTCTAAGGGACTTTGTTTTCCTGACCATTAGGTTAGTTTTTGAGCATGTTGACTAAACTTGGCTTTTAGTGTAAATTTATCAGCACTTCATCTGCTACCTTGGAAACAAAAGCTGATATTTAAACAATAAACTATTTATTGGATCATTCTCTGAAATGCAACCCCCTCCCAAGTACCCAATAGCTTATTCTTTTATTAAAGCTAATCAGACGGCAGTGCTCTCCTTATCTCCATACCTTCTCCCAAGGGAGGCACATGGCTGTTTAGACAATGAAGGCTGTCCTCCCTCCATTCATCATTCTAGTCCTTAGCCCCAGGCCTTTCTTGTTCTCCTTAGGATTCCTAAATCTTAACTACCCTCTGAGCTTCTCTCAGTGGTGGGCTGTCAGCCACAGCTTTCTCTATTAGGCACTTGCCAGATGGTGCCTTTTTAGGTCTCCTCCTGGGATCTCCTGCTGGTCCACAAGTTCTTGGAAGAAGTGGTCTATTTTATCTCTTGGCATCTGCCACAGCTCTTTACTAGAACTGACTGTAGGTGCCAGAAATTCAAAATCAACTGGTAACTGGTTCTTTGCTCTTCCCTCAATTGCTGCAGAAGTTTCCAAACTTATAGCCCTGCCCCAATCTCTCTCCCTTTATGTCAAATCTACTATAGGTACAACAGCAGGATAATCTTAACCTCACTTTCATCTCTATTACCTCTTCTTTTCTTCTCTCAAAAATTCATAGTGGTCCTAACTTTCTCTTGTACCAATGCAGAATCCCTAATAATAGGATTTTAAAGCTTTATCTAGCTGACTTTATACTTCAGTATATTCTGGTCTAGAATAAATCCCAAAAATCTAGCACAGAGCTTAATTCTACACCAACTAGCCAGGGGCATAACACTAACAGTTACTAAATATTTATAGACTAAATGAGTGAATTATCTTTTCAATAAACCCTCTTTCTTCTTTTTTTTGCATACATCTTTTTTAATCTTGCTTTTATGTTTTCACAGATAACATTTCACCAATTTGAAGAGAACTTTTCCTTCTGCCAGATCAAGTTGTTTAAAGCATTTGTTCTCACTCACTTCTTTCAAAAAACCTTTTGAGAACAGCCAGTTAAGATCTAGTTACTTAAAGCATCGATTGCTCTAATACTAGTGCCTACCTAGTTTTCTGTTCTAAGGGGTGCAATTCAAGGTCAAAGATGATATCAATTGCTTCCTTGTCATTCTCAGTACTCAGGTGGAGCTCTCTGTGTACAGTGAGTACTAATTAATGCTCTGTAATAAAATCTTCTCCAATACTTCACTCTTAAAGGGCCATTCGAGAGATCTAAATAAAATAGTGCCTAAAAATTAATAATATGTTCGACACAGAGGTTTAATAATTTGGGACATAAATACTAGTAGGATTTTGAACCAAAAGATGTTCTCTTCCTCGACAAAAAAAAATTCGATAGCTATATTTTCCATATCAATAGGGTTAACATATTTCAGGAAATTTCTTTTTTCCCCCTCAGTATTGCCTTATCATATAAAAATAAAAAAATACGATAATCAGCAATAAAAAGATAAAGTTCATACATAGAATGACATCAAAGTAATGTGACTTTTCTACTTGTTTGACCTACTAAACTGCTGCACAGGCCACTTGGGAGGACAAAGTTCAGGGGATACTCCTTAGGAGAAGTCACTGAACAAACAGCAAGTAGTGTTCCAGAAAGGAGAAAAGCAGAGGCAGAACTCCACATTCTGCTTAGCGAGCATGCTTCAGTGTTGTTTTGAAAATGGTAGTTTTTTCCTTTAAATCCAGGCTATTTTTCTGACTCTTCTTACTTTAACTAGTCAGTACAGACACTCAACTTCAAAAATATGTCAGAGAAACACAAAAGATATGACAGTTGTTTTTCTGTAAGCCTTCCCAAATGAGGCAGGTGGACAGAGTGGTGATCCCTGCACAGTGGTCCAATAGCATGTTTGTCTGACTTGATGGCTCTGAGGTCATCAGTCTACTTCAAAGGGAGTAGTGATTTTCTATCACAATAACCATGGAACTGATGAAATCTGGTAGCCAAGATCTATAAGACTCCATGATTTTGCCTAAACATACAACTATCTTCCAACTAGCAAAAAAGTTATTTTCTGTATTAGATATTGAAATTATATAACTATAGTTAATCACTGCAGCTTGAACTTTTGGAAGTAAGTATATTTGGTTAAAGTTTATGAGAAGTATATTTTGTTAAAGTTTATGAGAGTTGCTAAGAAACATCGTAATTTGGGGGGGTGGGGGGAAGACAATTTGTGTTTACTGGGCCACTGGTGGATGACTGACAATTGATATCACTAATAGGCAATTATAACACTTAGCATTCCAAAACTATTTAATAATTTGTTTAGAAGAAATATAGCTTCTAAAAGAACAAAAAGGCAATCTAAATATTTATTTGGATGGCTGCATGCCAAAATAAAGTTAAATACATAAGATAAAGAAATTAATGCCAAGCTAAAAAAAAAAAAAAAGCATCAGATATTCAGTCACCAACTTAAAAAAGGTGTGGCTTTCAAAAGTTTGTAAATGAATGATTTGAAATATTCAGTGCATTTCACATGGGAAAAAAATTCATTTCCTGTGGCAATGTTGTACGGCTTCCATTTTAACCCACCAAAACGAGATTAAATATTAGGTACACACATGGATGTAAAGCATCATGGTAAAAGAACATGAACTTTATAGAGCCAAAGACCGCCTAATTCCAGTCCTGGCTGTTTATTTAGTATTATTTCCATAAGTTACATCCTACAATCTCCAACAAGAAGTACATCTCTCGGTACGGAGCAGTCTCCTCTTGGCTTGGGGTAGACCAGGAAACCTGACAGCCCAAACAACTGCTGCCCCATAAGGAGGCTCTCCTGAGATGGGAACATACTTGTATCCTGGTGTGCTCAGGTGGGAGGCTCATGTGTAGAGTTCATGTCAAGGAAGACAACCTCCTAAATGGCCCTGATGGAGTTAATGCTGTCAGGTCATTGCCATGGCAGCAATATCTTTTACCATAACTACATTTAGTCTTTTCAGATGCTTGTGATTCTGAGGACTAAAATGAGGTTCAGTCTTACTAAAAAATAAGGTATGACCCAGTGAAGCTTTTCACATGTCTTGGTATGCTTTCCAAATGTCTGGGCAACACCCCTGCCTCTACTCCACTCCAATCTATAAGCTAATTACATTATAATACAGCCACCCTTTTAGAAACAAAAGGAAGTATTTGTACAAGACAAATCTACATGGAGCAATAAAATATTCTTGTATTTACCCAGTGCTTACAGGAGACCTGTCTATGAAATATACATTTTTCAGGAAAACAAGCACTTGGGCAGAGCTGTCAACCATCTGCACAGTGCCATATGAAAGACAGATGAGACATAGAGTTGAGGCCCATGGGACAGCTGACTGTCTATAGAAGTCAGTCAGGAGAAATGCTCAGTAAATGTTCACATTTTAGAATGATGGCTAGAATGGTGATTATGCAAACCATCCAAAGATGCTATTAATAACGGCTTCAAAATCAGAATATCATATACTCATAATGGGGTTTTTCTCCCTCAGATATTGTTATAAGCTCAGATGTTACTATAATTAAACAAAACATTAACATCAAGATAGTTAAAAATAACACAATATTTGAGGAGAGGTTATAAATACGATTGAGAAAAATCCCAAATTCGCGATTCATGCTAATTCTCTATGTGACTGGATAGCTCCATTAAAAACATTTCTTCTTTTCTCTAAATCATGGATTAAGATGATTATTTTAAATGTAAAAGCCACAGTTTGGACCATATATATATATACCATTCCACCTCTGCCTATCCAAAACAACATTTTAGGGTGAGATGCCATAAAACTTGACAGAGAACAAGCATTCTTACTATGAAAAGCAAAAATATGTGATAATTTCAGAGCTTCGCTTATGCTTATAAGATGTCTTTTCACTAAAGTATATTTTCATTTACATTAACTGACTCATACAAGGCTGCCTTATTGTTAGAGTTAAGAAAACATACAGAAAACAAATTTTTAGAATTAAAATACACATAACATTTTAAAATCTTAATTTTATAAAATTCTGAATCACTAAACTTGTATAATTGTTTTTGTTGTCAATTATTATTTTTCCCTCAGAGGTACTTTATGGGCTCCACTCAACCCTTGGTCTTGTGTTACAGGCAAACTCTAGGATCCTCATTTAAAAATAAAATTATAGATAAAAGACTAATAAAAGAATCAGCCATTGTAGTCAATTGGATGCTATTATAGGGTGTCCTCACCTTCCTCTTGTGGCCTTCTATGGAAACTTCATCCCTGACAGACTGCAGGATTTCCCTTTCAACTGTCTGTCCTTCAAGATGGTGCACTCTGAGTGCACTTCACTGACCATTCCACAGGCATCTTGCATGAGAAGGCAGACTCTACAAAAAAAAGCATTCACATTTGGTCTTTTAGGAGACACTTTTTGATTCAATAGAAAGATCAAGATTTCCTTCTCCTTCACTAGAAATCTATGGTAGTCATCTTCTTAAATGGATGAATCAGGGTAAATGAAGTCAAATTTAAACATGCACTTTTTAGATTTGTACATGCCAGTTTTTGATTACTATCCACAAAACACAAGAGACAGAACTTCTCTTTTGGCATAAAACTAAACCTTAAGCCTAATGAGGTTTAAAAGCACACAAGAAGGCCACCCTTTCAAATCAAATATAATACTGTTGTCCAGAAACAGAGCATCTTCTTCCCCATGTTTATCCTATCTGCCATAACAAGTAATATATTTTGTATAAATGCTCAACACTGAGAAGAGCTTCAGTGTAACATTATGATGAGAATAACAATAACATTCGATGAGAATATGTTCCTTTTCTCTGAGCAGATACATATTTACAGAAATGCATATCCCAGCAGGATAAAAACTAGTGTCCCAACTGGCAGCAACATAGACCTAATAGATATCCAGTGACATGACGGGATTCCCCCCACTTTTTAAGTTCAAAGGTCAGTACGTATAAAAACCTGTATATGATTGAATTTTCAATCCTTCACTTCATAATTCGAGTGAAATCTTATTTATTATGAAATGACACATTCTCAGAAAACATTTCTTGGAGCCTGAAAAAAATTTAGTAAAATAACACTACCAAATAGACTGTGAGAAACAAAACTATTTTAAAGTTGAAGGTATAAAGAAAAGTCTATGTTGGAAACGAACAGATGACAAAAAATGAACAAAGGAAAGCTACATCAAGCTATGAACCTTAAATACTGCCTTGGCAAAAGGCAGTAGACTAAGTTTAGACTTCCTGATAATGTCTCCCAGGTCCACAGGGCCCCCTCTGGTTTGCAAGAGAATCATGCTTAATGAAATGAGTAAGATGGCAAAGGACGAGAACCATATGATTTTACTCATATGTGAGATATAAAACAGAAAGTGACAAATGAATAGACAAAACAATCTAATTCATAGACAGACAACAATATGGTGGTTGCCAGTGGGAAGGGGGTTGGGGGTGCATGAAGAGGATAAAGGGGGTCAAGTATATGGTAATGAAAGAAGACTAGACTTTGGGTGGTGAGCACACAATGCAATATACAGATGATGTATTATAGAATTGTATACTTGAAACTTATATAAGGTTATTAACCAATGTTATCTCAATAAATTAAATTTAAAAAAACAGAAGTGAATTTAAATCTTGTTTGAAGAAAAGCACCCTTAATTATATTTCCAGTTTGCCATTGAGTAAAATCAAATAAAGATATACGCAAATAAAAATCACCAAGTACAAAAGAAACAAAGCATTATGCGGAAGAGTCAGAAAAAATAACAAACTATTATGTGGAAGGGTCAGAAATATTACAATTAAAATATATAAAATATAAAATAACTATTCTAAAAAGATAAAAATCACAAACATATAAATAGGAGACAAAATGCTATATAAAATTACTTGGCAAATTTGAAGAAGAAAGAAATAAAATTTCAAAAAGGAAAACTATACTTATTGAAATAAAAATTTATTAAATAGGTGTGCCAAATGGTTATATGTTTCTGGACAGTTTGTATATGTGAATTGGGTTATAAATTTGAATAAATTACCCAGAACGCATCTTGAGAACTGAGATTAAAAAACATGAGGGAGAAATACAGAGGACAAAGTGATTAAGTCTAACATGTGTCTAATCGGAATTCAAGAGGAACAAAATAGAGGAAGGAGAAGCAATAATTTGTAGCTCTAGTAACTCAGAATATCTTCTAATTAATATAAGAAATAAATCTGTAGATATAAGAAGAAAACAAATGCCAAGCAGGACAATTAAAAGGAAATCCATCCTAATGCAAATACTGTAATGAAACTACTAAGGAACATCAAAGACATTGATAAGATTTTAAAAGCAAAAAGGGTGAAAAGACAGAGAACATCTTTACATGAATAAAAATTTGATATACATTGGCCTTCTCCAGAGCAATCAATAAAGCCAGAAAATAATTAAATATTTTCATATCTGAAAGCCATTCTTTCAAGAATGATGGTAAAATAGAGACATATTAAAATAAAGAAACGCCGGACACATTTTCCACCTACAGAGCCTGAAATATGTACTAGTTACTAAGGTAATTACTAAAATAATTTCTAAATTATGTAATTTAGGAAAAAGGAAATTATCCTGAAAAAAAGGGCCTAAGATACAAGGACTACTGAGTCAACAATATAAAAGAATCAAAATAAATATGATAGGATAAAATAACAACACGACCAGTAATATTAATTAATGTATTAAGAGCTGAAAAACTAGAAACGGATAGCAAGTAAGTCAAATAGATTGACCGGAGTTCAAATGTTCCCAAGTCCTCTTATCACTCATATCAGGATTAAGATAACGCTAGACTTCATTAATATATACATGCGGTAAAATTTCAGGGATAACAACCAAAAGAACAGAAATAGGACACATAACTTCCAAATCACTAGGTGGAAAAATAGAATGAGAAATATGGGCAAATGGACAAAAATTTAAAAATGCAAAGAAGAAACATTAAAAAAGGCAGGCAAATGTAAGGTAATAAGTAAGATGGTAGACACAGGTCTATATATATTAGAAATGTAATAAAAATGACTTAAACTTGTCAGTTAAAAGGCAGTTTGTCATGTCGCTTGAAGAAAGAAAAATGTCTTCCAATAAGTCGTTGACAGGAACCCCCCTAAAGCACAGATATGTTCAAAGGACAAAAAAATGTTTCAGGCAAATATTAACCAAAAGGAAGCTGAGGAGGTGCTTTTGAGAGTAAACAAAATAGATTTTAGGTGAGAAAGCATTATTGATAGAGAGGTCACTAATATTAATATTAATAAAGGTTAATTGACCATGAAGACATGTAATTCTAAGCCTTTATGCTCTTAGCCTCAAAATATATAAAGAAAAAACTGATAAAACTTCAGAAAGAAATTCACAAATGTAACATCATTGTGGTAAATTTCAACATACCTCTGCCAATCATTATCAATCAGAGAAAAAAGTAGTAAAGAATTAGAAAACTTGCATATACCTAACAAGTTTAATTTGTTGGACATGCAATTAGAAAAACTTCCTACAACTAAATAAGTGCATTGTCAAGTGCACAAGGGACATTAAAAAAAAAAAAATAGTGACCAGGCACTTACTTGTCCATAAGGCAAGTCTGAATGAATTTCAAAGAATCACTATAGTATAGGGCAGGGGTCTCCAACCTCTGGGCCTCAGACCAGTGCTGGTCCTTGTCCTGTTAGGAACTGGCCACACAGCAGGAGATGAGAAGCGGGTGAGGGAGCAAAGCTTCATCTGTATGTGCAGCCACTCCCCAGCGCTAGCTAGCATCACTGCCTCAGCTCCACCTCAGATCATCAGACATCAGATTCTCACAGGAGCACCGGTCCCTGGTGCCAAAAATGTTGGGGACCTTTGGTATAGGGCATACCCTCTGCATACAATAGAATTAAATGAGAAATCAAGCAAAAAATGTGTACTTAGAAAAATTCTTCTAATTTGGAAATTTTATATTCTTTTCAACTCTTAGAATAAATATGAAATCACTGTAGAAAAGAATATGTTGAACTTGATATTTAAAAAAATTGCATATCAAAACTTATGAACTACAAGGATATTATAGGAAATTTATAGTCTTAAATATAAAACTTCCTAACTCATTTTATGAGGCTAACATTACCCCAATACCAAAACCTGGTAAGGATAACACACAAAAAGAGAAAACTACACACCAGTACCTCTGATGCATACAGATATAAAAATCCTAAACAAAATATTAGCAAATTGCGTGCAACAATACATTAAAAATATTATAAATGACAATCAAGTGGGGTTCATTCCATGGGCACAAGGATGGTTCAGCGTACACGAATCAATCAATGTAATATAGCACATAGAAAAATATAAGAAAAATCATATGATCATATCAATAGATGCAGAAAAAGCATTTGACAAGGTACAGCAACCATTTATGATTAAAACACTTAATAAAATGGGTATAGAAGAAAAGTACCTTGACATAGTAAAGGTCATATACAACAAAACCTCAGCTAATATCATACTCAATGGTGAAAAACTGAAACCTTTCCCTCTAAGATCAGGAACAAGACAAGGATGCCTGCTCTCGCTACTCTTATTCAATATAACATTGGAAGTCCAAGCTAGAAGAATCAGCCAAGAGAAAGAAATGAAAAGCATCCAAACTGAGAATGAAGAAGTCAAATTGTCACTTTTTGCAGATGACATGATTCTCTATATAGACAACCCTAAAAATTCTACCAAAAAAACCCTATTAGAAACAATAATAGGTTGCAGGTTAAAAATCAATGTACAAAAATCCACTTGTATTATATAACTGAATTCACTGTTTTCTCATTTTGTAATTTAATTAAATTACTAGAAAATAGTAGCTGTCCAGGTGATTAATAATCATTGCTAACTAGATTAGAGATGGCATGAGAGTGGTAATTCTCAAAACCGAAGTAGTCCAGGTAGTTCTGGGGATAGCAGAAGCCAAAAGAAACTGACTAAGTGGATTCTTATGAGTAGGGGAAGAATATGGGTTTGAAGCCTAAGAATCCTGTATCAAATCCCAGTTGTACCAAATTAGCTCTGTGTGACAATAAACAATCACTAAACTTCAAAAAAAAAAAAATCCACTTGTGTTCCTATACACTAACAATGAAATTTCAGAAAAAGAAATGGAAAAAAATTTCCTTTTGCGACACGAAAAATATAATACCTAGAAATAACCTTAACAAAACACATGAAGGACCTATACACTGAAAACTACATGACATTATTAAATTGAAGAAGAAATTGAAGAAGACACGAAAGAATGGAAAGATATTCCGTGTTTATGGATTGAAAGAATCAGCATAGTTAAAATGACCATATTACCCAAAGCATTGTACAGATTTAATGCAATCCCCATCAAAATCCCAATGGCATTTTAAAAAAAGAAATAGAACAAAAAATCATCAGATTTGTATGGAATCACAGAAGGCCCTGAATAGTCAAAGCATCCTGAGAAAAAAGAGCATGGCCGGAGGTATCACACTGCTTAACTTTGAATCATACTACAAAGAGACAATAATCAAAACAGCATGGCATTGGCAGAAAAACAAGCACAGAGCAATGTAACAGAACTGAGAGCCCAGAAATAAACTCACATATACATGAGCAAATAATTTTCAACAAAGGAGCTAAAAACATACAATGGAGAAAAGAAAGCTTCTTCAATAAATGGGGCTGGAGAAATTGGAAAGCCACATACGAAAGAATGAAACCAGACTGCTCTCTATCACCATATACCAAAATTAACTCAAAATCGACCAAAAACCTAAATATAAGACCTGAAATAATAAATTGCATAGGTACTCTGTATGAGAGTTCCTTTTTCCTCACAACCTCTTCAGCACTTGTTATTACTTGTCCTATTGATGATAGCCATTTTAACAGGTATGAGGAGATATCTCGTGGTTTTAATTTTCATTTCCCTAATTGCTAGTGAAGTTGAGCATCTTCTCATATGTCTGTTGGCCATTTGTATGTTTTCTTGGGAGAAGTGTCTGTTCAGGTCCTCTGCCCATTTTTTAATTGGATTGTTTATTTTTTAATGTTGAGTTGTATGAGTTCTTCGTATATTTTGGATATCAGCCCCTTATCAGAGGTGTTGTTTGCAAATATCTTCACCCATTTGGATGGTTGCCTCTTTCTCTTATTGATGGTCTATTTTGCTGTGCAGAAGCTTTTCAGTTCGATATAGTTCTATTCTTGTATTTTTGCTTTTACGTCTCTTGCCTTTGAGGTCAAATTCATAAAATCCTCTTTAAGTCCAAGGTCCATGAGTTTAGTATCTATGTTTTCTTTGCAATTTATTGTGAAACCTATATAATTTTGTTAACCAATGTCACCCCAATAAATTTGATAAAAAATAGTAAAACGATTATTAGTAGTAATAATCGTAAAAATGATTATTTTTCCTTTCCTTATACATCTTAAAATTACTCTTCTATGTTCTCACCATAAATTCTACACCATACCTCTGCCAATTATCAAAATCTTCCTTTAGGATGCAGAACTTCACAGGTATTCTACCCTGTAGAGGCTCTTCCAGAGCCTTCTGCTCTGCTCAAGGCTGAACTGAGGCGTACTAGTCATCCTGAGATCTGTCAGAAAATCTGTTATTCCCTTTGCTGCTCTAATACGTTGGATCTCCTATTTCCCATATCTCATACCTTCCTTTCTTAATTTATTTCTTCAAGTTAGTAGCTCATATCTTTTAGCTTGCCAAAAAGGAGGGAGTGGAAAGTAAAATTTCTGAAGTAATTCATGAAATTGTCCATAATTTATTCTCAAACTTTATGGGAAGTTTGGTTGGGTCTAGATTTCTACAATGGAAATACTTTTTCCATTCTACGTCCAATCCTGCTTTTTTATTCTCCCTTTTCTCTGGTAGATGAGGTTTTAGTTCCCAGGGCACCGACATTGCATGGTAACATGCGTAGGTAAAATCTGTTTCTATGTACTAGGTGAGTGAAAGGGCGGACACTTTTACAGTGGAATCATGTTTACTTTTAAGTCATTTATTGGATATCCTGGTCTTTTCCTATAATTTTCTTAATTTATCTCTCCTCTTTTCTATTTCTCTCTGGGAGTTTCCTCAATTTTGTTTTCCAATACTTCTAATTAGGTTTTTAATAATTTCTTGTTTTCATATTTTTGACTTCCAAGATTTCTCTTTTAAGTTCTGAAAGATGCTTTCCTCCCTCTTGATAGTGTCCTCTTTTGTTTTATGGTTGTAATATTCATAATTTCATTTTAAGAAGCTTTTTTTCAGGCTCCAGTGATTCTGCTGTCTGTTCCTATTTACGAAAATGGTTCTAACAAGCTTCCTAGAACCTCTGAATGAGCAGGTGGAACTTATCATCCATGAACAACTCATGGGTGATCTGGCTGTCAGATGTCAATATCTTTACATCTTTCCTCTTGATGAGAAAAATTCCTCAGAAAAGACTGGTTTTTACCACTATGTGCAAGGGTAAGAGAAGTGTGCGACTTCTCACAATACAGAGTAAAAGAATAAGACATGATCACTTCATGGACAGACTTCAATTGTTTTCCTTATTTTAGCCTGTTTCATCTGCTACCAGAGGCAGTAAAAAAACCCTGGATATCCATATGCGGGAAAAAAAAAACAACACTTTAACTGTTGTCTCATATTTTATAAAAAAATTAACTCAAAATGGATCATAGACCCAAATATAAAAACTAAACTTTTAGAAGAAAACAAAGGAGAAAAATCTTTGTCAACTTTAAGTAGGTAATATTTCTCAATCAGGACACAAAAACACAAATTATAAAAGAAAAACATTGATTATCTTCACATACCAAAATTAAAACTTCTGCTCTTCAAAAGATACCATTAAGAAAGTGAATAGGCAAACCACAAGCTAGGAGAACATATTTGTTAACCAAATATCTGACAAAGGACTTGTATCTAAAATACAAAAAGAACTCTTAGGACTCAATAGTAAGAAGATAAACAGTCCAATCAAAAAATGGACTCAAGACAGAAAAACATCACATATTGTAGAATTCCATCTCTATGAAATATCCAGGATAGTTAAAACCATTGAGTCAGAACACAGAATGGTGGTTGCCAGGGGGTAGGTGGAGAGAGAGACAGGTCTTACAGGCATAGCTAGTTTTATTGTACTTAATTTTATTGTGCATTGCAGATATTCTATTTTTTTATAATTTGAAGGTTGTAGTAACCCCGCCTCAAGCAAGTCTATTGGTGCCATTTTTTTCTAACAGCATTTGCTTACTCTGTGTCTGTGTTAAATTTGGTAATTCTCACAAATTTCAAAATTTTTCATTATCATTATATTTGTTATGGTGATCTGTGATCAGTAATCTTTGATGCTACTATTGTAATTGTTTTGGGGCATCATGAGTTGCACCCATACAAGACAGGGAACTTAACTGATAAATGTGTGTCTGACTGCTCCACTGACTAGCTGTTCCCCATCTCTCTTCCTCTCCTCTGCCCTTCCTATTCCCTGAGACACAAGAATGTTGAAATTAGGCCAATTAAGGCCCTTGGGCATAGAGAGCAGACAGGTTTTGCAGTGCGGGGCTTGGGTGTACAGCCATGTCACAAATGCTTCTTCACCGGGACTGGGACATCCCTAATGGCACAAAGTATCACCACAAGGCCTACGCCGGCACCAGTATCAGTGGTGCCATTGGTCTGCTCGCCTCCGCCTACAGCATCACACTCTAATCCCCGACTCGTTCCTGGAGGGAGTGGCCTGAAGAGAATGGTACACATTTACCACAGCCACCATCAGTGCTTCTTACGGATGAGCAAAGAAAGTGGTTTCATGAGATGGAATCTATTCCTAGTGAAGATACTGTGAAGATTGTTGAAATGATGAAAAGGACTTAGAATATTACATAAAAACTGATAAAGCAGCGGCAGGGTTTCAGAGATGTGACTCCAGTTTTGAAAGAAGTTCTACTGTAGGTAAAACGCTATCGCATGCTTCAGAGAACTCATTCGTGAAAGGAAGAGTCAATCAATGTGGCAAACTTCCTGCGTCTTATTTAAAGAAATTGCCACAGCCACCCTGACTTTCAGCAACCACCACTCTGCTATGTCAGCAGGCATCAACATCAAAGCAAGATTCTACATTAGCAAAAAAAAAGTATTTTTAAATTAACGTATGTACATTTTTTAAAAGACATAATGCTATCGCACACTTAGTAGACGACAGGATAATGTAAACATAAATTGTGTATGTACTAGGAAACCAAAAATTTGTGTGACTTACTTCATTGTGATATTTGCTTTATTGCAGTAGTGGGTTGGGACTGAACCCACAATATCTCAAAGATATGCCTGTTAACTGTTTTATGGATATTTGGAGTAATTAAAATGTTTTATTTATTATTTATTTATTTATGCCTATAGCACCTGGTCTTCCTAGGTGGTCTCCCATCCAAGTACTAACCAAGCCCAACCCTGCTTAACTTCCGAGATCAGACAGGATCAAGCATGTTCAGGGTAGCATGGCCATAGACAAAATGTTTTAGAACTAGCTGGTAGTGGTGGTTGCATAACACTGTGAATGTACTAAATGCAATTGAATTGTTCACATTAAAATGGCTGGTTTTATATCATTTCAATGTAAAACGAAATGTCCAAAAACATGAATAAATATTTCATCAGAGAAGATACACATATGTCCAATAAACACATAAAAAGATGCACAATACCGTTAGGTATTAGGAAAGTGCAAGTTAAAACCACAATGAGATATCACTACACGCTCACTGGAAAGGCTAAAGTGAAAATGATTCACAGTATCAAGTTTCACTGAGGATTGGGAAAAACTGAAACTATCATGCGTTTTAGGTGAGACTATATATGTTATAGCCACTTTAGAATACAATTTGGCAGCTTATTTTTTTAATTAATTCTTTTATTGAAGTATAGTTGGTACAGAATCTTATACTGATTACATTAATTAGTTGAGGTGTACAATATTCGACATTTTTAATCATCCCACTAGTAATCATCCCACTAGTAATCATCCCACTAATTCTAGCAATCATCACTCGCCATGTAAACTTATTACAATATTATTTACTATATTCCCCTTCTCTTTTTCACCCACTCCCCTCCCCCCACACTTCCCTTCCAGTAACCAACGTTTTGGTCTCTGTACGTCTGTTTAAAAAATGGAACGCTTCATGAATTTTCATGTCATCCTTACGCTGGGGCCATGTGAATCTTCTCTGTATCATTCCAATTTTAGTATATGTGTTACTGAAGTGAGCACCACTTTGGCAGTTTCTTACAAAGTTAAACATATACTTATATGGCTAGTCATTACACTAAAGGTATTTTCACAAAAGAAATAAAATTGAATGTTCACATAAAGATTAATAGACAAGTATTCATAGCAGCTTCATTAAATAATAGCCTCAAACTGGAAACAAATGTTCAAAAATAGTTATGGATAAATTGTGTTATATTCTTACAATGAACTACTATTCAGCAATAGAAAGGAAAATGAAAAGGAACTACTGACACTTGCAGCAACAGGAATAAATCTTGAAAAACATTTTGCTGAGTAGGAAAAAATCCATCAAATGTAGTTTATATTTATATCAAATTATAAAAATGCAAAATGAATTCATAGTGACAGCAAGCAGATCCATAGCTGCCTGAGATGGGCTCAGAAGGATTTGCAGCAGAGGACATACAGGAACTTTCTGGAGTAATGGAAATAGTCTATGTCTTCATTGTGGTGGGTATTTTTTTTTAATTAATTAATTAATTTTTAAATTTTTTAGGTGAGGCAACCCTTGGTTGACCTCACAGATTGCAAGGACCTTGTCAGCTTACAATCTCTTACTTTTTTATTTTTTACACCTATAGCACCTAGTCTTCCTAGGTGGTCTCCCATCCAAGTACTAACCAGGCCCGATCCTGCTTAGCTTCTGAGATCAGACAGGATCAGGCTTGTTCAGGGTAGCATGGCCATAGATTATGGTGGGTATTATATGGTAGAAACATTTGTCAAAACCCACTGAGCTCTATGCTTAAATGGGTGCATTTATTTTACATGGGTAAACCATATTGTATATACCATACCTTAAAAAATTTGCATAAAAAAAGTGATATAGGAAACAACTTGAAAGAGATCTCACTGGAAAAATATAGGATAATCATGGAGAAAAGATGAGAAAACTTACTGGCACTTTTGGAAGTTGGTAGGGTGTCCAATTCATTGTGCTAAAAAGCGCAAACAATGAGAAGGAATCAAACACTTAAAAATCAATTAGAAAAATATACTTTGCAAAGAGGCATGTTACCTTGTCATTATACATAAACTTTTAAAGGAAAATTGTAATGTAATATAAGTGCATGTTTTCTTGTGCATCTTTAACAAATACTGGAAACCACTTACTTTTAGAGATAACTCTAAAAGTTTAAAATTATGGATATATTTAGATTTAAAAAAAATAAAATGAATACATTATGATGTTCAATACAACAATAAATTTTAAAATCTTACCCTATATCTGCAACCTTCTCCATAAAAAAACTTTATGCAACAGTAACCACATGCAAACTACTAATTCTACCCTGAATGAGGGTTGAAACTGCTTCCATATTCTCTATCTGAGCTATAGCAGGCTCTTAATAAATACTGGATGAGTCTCTCTGGTAAATATGTATACAGAAAACTCACATAATACCTGATTGCAGACAGTGTTCACAGAAATATTCATTCACCTATTCACTCGCTAATGCATACATTGTAGGATATATAAGAGGAGTGGGTCAAATAAAAACAATATGATTGAGAATCGAATAAAAGATAGCAGGGTAACATTAACACCTCACACTAATATAATGTATTATGGCTAGTTAGAGCCTTCTCATATGTTATCTATTTAATCCTTTAACTGAGGAAAGTGGGCATTGTTACCTCCATTTGATAGATGTGAAAAGTGAGGCTCAAAGTATTTTAAACACTAGCCAAAGTAGTAAAGAGGTAGCAAAATCAGGTCTTAAACCCAAGGCTCTTGATTTTGATATTTTTGTGCCATAACATCACATTACAGTAAGTTATAAGAATGTATAAGAAGAGTGATCAATTTTGCATAATGGAACCGAAGAGGGCATCCCAGGGCAAGTAGCATTCTGGTTTGCAAGGGGAGCACAAAGAACACAACAAGGAATAAACTCATGGCAAACTTCATGATGACCATAAAATCTGGAACATCCAAATCTAATTTTTACAGAGAGGCAATGATTTGTTCTACCACTACATCAAACTGTTCAAAATATAGTTATATATACACATTTTAACTTGTCAATAATGAGGATACTTATCCAGAAGAACTTTGCCAACTGCAGCTTTCCAAAGATACTTTTAAATGTTTGATAAGAATCATATTATAGTAGTAAGATCACAATGTAATTTATGCTAGAGTATCCAAAAAAAAATGGGGCGGGGGATGCTAATGTAATATAATGAAGGAAAAATGCTCTTAAATTAAGTCCCTTGAGAACAATTTATTAACCGGCCAATACAACTTAACATTTCATTCAAAATAAGCAAAACTGTCTGTTTTAATCGGAGACCCAAGTGGGAAAGGACAAAAGATTACTCTCTCGTAATATTGTCATGTTTGGAACAGTATGCTATGTTAAAGCAGGGATAAAAGTATACACTTTTATGTTGAATTTATAATATCTTTTTTGTCCATAGACCATTCCATATCATAACCTCTTGGAGGGAAGTGCTTTAATGTTTATCTTTCCTCAAAGGCCTACTCCCCTGCTAGCTATCCCCTCACCTGACTTGCCTCTCTGTTCCATGTCTAATTAAGGAGACTGAAGAGGAACCTGGGGAACTAGATTCCACTTACTAAAGAGGAAGCCCCAGCAGTTCTGTAAGAGGGAAGAACCTACTGTAAGAGGTTGTATACCCACTCCCATACAATTAAGTTAATGCCTGCTTGACTATATTAGTGCATCCCACACTTTTGTAAGCATTATTGTCAATATATATATATAAACATCAAGATGAATACAAAATCTCTGTGGGTCTGCTTCATAAAAACTGGAGAGAATTATTTTTTTTTTAATTTACTGGGGGTGACATTGATTTAATAAAATTATACAGGTTTCAAGTGTACAATTCAATATTACATCTTTTGTATATTGCATTGTGTTTACCACCCAAAGTTAAATCTCCTTCCATCTGCATATATTTGACCCTCTTTACTCTCTTCTACCTTTCCCTTTTTCTCTCACCCCTTTTTCTCTGGTAGCCACTGTTGTCTGTGTCTGAGTCCATTTGTCTTGTTCGTTTTTTGCTTTCTTTTGATTACTTGTGTTGAGAAGGGAGAAGCGGGGAATTGGTTAATACCTTTGCTTTAAATTTGCTCTGACATGTGCCTTTATCTCAAATGATCAACAAAGGGTGCTATTGTTTGTTTACTCTTTTGCCCTAGAGATGAGTTATTACTATTTTCCTTCTCCTCCTTTTGTTCATGCCTGGTCACACATGCTCTACCACCTTGTTCTACTCACATAGCTGAGGCTCAGGAGTATAATGGCTCGGGCCTGAGGTGGAGTCACTGTCTCCACTAGTTCGACTGGATTGGACCTGTGGCATTCAGCAGTCCAAACCAAAGTCAGTTTATCAGTGCTAGTGTGACACGTCTGAGTAGAAAAACGCCACATGATCAACTTGTCTTTCCTGAATTACCAGAGATGTTACCCATAAATCACATCATATTCAAGGGAATGTAAATTCCTTCCCAGGGAGGCAGCACCATGTTAGGAACTCTGGGACCTTAAAAATGTTGCTAACTACAGTTAAGCTTGAAGTTACTCATCTTAACACAGAAATACGGGGAACATAACTTAGAGGGCTATTGTGAGCATTAAAGTGACACAGGGCTCTGCACAGTGACTGGCACAAGAATTGATCTTTCCCTTGCAGAGTACTTAGGCTGATTTTTATAATAAAGTTTTCTTTTGGTGGGTCCATTTTTATAATATAATTTTAGGTCAATTTTTGTAATATAAATTTTTCCATATAGTTCTTAAACATCTTTAGGTAGAGCTATACCTACATTGCTTATGGTTGCTTGCTATTTTAAATGGTATTTTTGTTTGTTGCTGTGTGTTGCTGTTCTAATAGAGAAGTACAAATGACTTTCGTATATTGTCCTTTTGTAATTCATCAGTCTTACTAAAATTTATTATGTATAATACTTTTTATAAAGTTTTATGTAATCATTTTTACCCATGCATACTAACAATTTTCCTCTGCTTTCCCAATCCTTATGCATTGTATTAACTTATATTTTTTAACTGCCCTTTAGAGCCTTTGGTACAAAGCTGAAAGAGAAGCCAGTGACACTGGGTATCCTTATATAGTCCTTGATTTTTAAGAAAATGTCTTCAATGTTTTACAATTAAGAGTGAAGTTTGTATAGTTTTTTGTTGTCATTGTTGTTGTTTGATAGACATCTTTCATCAGGTTAAGGATTCCCAGTTTGCTGAGAAATTTTTAAAAACCATGAATAGGTGTTGGATTTTATCAAATGCATTTTCTGCATTAATTGAAATGATTATATGTTTTTATTTTCTTTGCTAATATTTTCAATTGTTAAAACATTATTTTACTCCTGAGATAAAGCCAAGATCCTATTTGATATGTTTTATTCAGGATTTTTGTATCTATGTCCATTAGTGATATTGACCTTTAATTGTATTTCTTATATTTGATTTGTTATCAGGATTATTTATATCAGCTTCATATAATAAGTTGACAGGAATTCCTTTTTTTCTTTGAAAACTGTATGTAAAACTTGAATGATCTTTTTGTTTTTTGATAGTTTGAAAGAATTTAGTAATAAAATTATTTGGCTCTAGTGCTTTTCTTCCTTGGAAGATTTTTAATTATCAACTCAACTTCTCTAATGGTAATTGAATTATTTGGGCTTTCTAATTTTTTCTTGACATTTTGGTAAGTTATATTTTCTAGGTATTTGCCCATTTTATCAGTTTTCAAATTTATTAGCATAAAGATAGAATTATATCCTCTTACTATGTTTCCAATCCCTGATGAAGTTGATGTCCCTATTTTTCCTTTTTAATATTATTTATTTATATATTTTCTTTATAAATTTACCATAGAATTATTATTAATCATTTCAAAGAACCAACTCTTGGCTTTGTTTATTCACTGTTTCTTTGTTTATGTCATTAATTTTTATTCATAAGTTTATAAACTTCTTCCTTCTATTT